CGAAACTGATTTTTCCCCTCAGTTGAGACAAGTCCACATCCCCCAAAATCGATGGGGTATTCCAAGCCGTCATCGTTGACGAGGTCGCCCAGACGCGCGGGGGTCGACGCCAGCTCTCCGGTAGAGCAGAGGTCGCGGCCTTCACTGCGGCATCCTTCTCAACATCGTTGGGGCCCATAGGAACCCGTTCTCGACCGTGGGTGTTGCCCTACAGAGTCTCGTTGACCAACCCAGGATCGACATCTAAGTCATCCGCAGAAGATCCGTCGTGGATGCTCTCCTTCCCCTCTTCGCCATCCGACTGGCTCGAACTGAAGTCAATTATCTCAACCGTGAGGAACTTTAGATTTTCCCCTCCTTGCGGACCGGCTGCCGCCGCAGTCTCCGAAGTAACCCGAATAGCCGACGTAACCCGGAGCGGTTGCGCCGCCTCCGCCGCCGGTGGAGAGTACACTACTATCTCACCGGTCTCCTCCAATGCTCGCTTCTCACTTTTTCCAGAGCCGTTCGACGAAAAGCCAGAGGTACCAGCCATACCGAGAATAAAGAAAAAGAAAATAGAAAGAAAATTAACGAGAGAAAAACTCCGAGTGCCGACTTGCGGTAGTCTCTGAAAATTCCAAAAATCGCCTTGCTGAACTACCTGAAAGCTCTCAAAAAATCGCTGGGGAGTTGCAGAAAAAGTGAAAACTTGTCAAAAAAGACGAAGCCCAATATATATAGGGGCCTTCGTTCAATCACAATGCGACACGTGGCCCGCCGTTTTGATTTCAAAATTAAAAATAGGAAATTGTTCGAATCAAACAGTCGTGATTGAGACGATCCGACGGTCCACGAACCCGCGTGGGTGTCACGCTGCAAAGAAACCGCCCCATTTACTGGAATGACACGATGCACAATGTGGTTGAATCGGATAGCGCCAAGTGAAAAACTTCTGAAACGGCGCGACTTTTCAGGGCCCACAAAAGTAATAACAGCCACATCGCATTAATTGACCAGTTGCTTCGGGTCGCGTCATCAATGAAGAGACCCCAATTGGAGAAATTTTGTCCAAGTAAAACGGAAAGGCCAAGGTGGAGTCTGGCATTCTCAGGTCAACGCAGCGAGATGACAACCTTAGACGAGACGCCAAAAGACCATCCTCCAAGCTCGAGGGCCTGTATGTTGATATCTGAGTTAGCCAGAAGAGAACCGGACAAGGGGGACATCCCAGCACTTGGTCCAGAACCTAGTTCAGCTCAGAAGCGCCGAGCTGAGTTACGAAATAAAGTGACCAGGACCACTATAGGAACAGTTCGCGAGATTGGCACCTAAAATCAAGAAACCGAGGTGCCGACCTCGCTAGATGTTGGACTGGAAAAGGGATCTAAAAGGCTTAAGGAGCATATTTGGTCAGAGTGTCGACTTGGAAATCCAGAGCGGCCACTCCGGAGTAGAGCGCGGGGCCTAGTAATATTAAAAGTATTCCCAGTTGGAAAACCATCATTGGGTGATGGGACGGGTCTTCGTAGCCTGCCACCCTACAGGGTAGCCTAGACACAAAGCCTGCCAACATTAAATGTCCCCCATGCTTGCATTAAATGTCTGACAGGTAATGATTGAAGCAACCTCATATCGCATTTAATACTGTCCGGGAGGCGCCGAACTGCTCTGCAGGAACACTGAATGACAAGGCCAGTGAACAATACCTGAACAGTGCCACATTTAAGGCTACTATAAATAGAGGCCCAATTCATTCATTTTTGGGTTGTTGAACCTCAACTAACTCTGCCTTCTCTCTACTTTCTCTCTCTAAGAACTGTAAGAAAACCATTGTAAGGATTGTAAGTATATCATAAGTGTCGACCTCGTATGAGAGGACGACCTTGCGATCGTTTAATAAAACCCGTAATTAACCTACATCTTCTCCTCATTTTTTGTTTCGTACTTACATCGTCTATTATTCTAATCGTTCATCAACAATACGGAGGGTAAATACCTAATCCCCAATAATAAAACATAAAATAAACACCAATTTTCATAACATGAGTAATATCATTATTACTTATGTAAAAACATACAACGAGCTGATGTGGCTGGACGAAGCGAGGGGTCATAAACGTAAGTACTTAAACAAATTCAGAAGCAATCTACAGAAACATAGACCCGCTCAGATACCAAACTGTAACGCCCCATTTTATTTTAAAGAATTTACCAAATTTATTTATGAAAATCAGAGTAAAATTTTCGCAAAATCTCAAATTAAAACTTATTTCTCAACAGGTGTTACTTACTACCAAAAACGATTAAACAAGTACGAACAAATAGATTGAACCTATACATGCATAAAGTAACAGTCATAAAAAAAAAATTAAATTAAACCAATTTATTCATAAGGTTTCAAATCCGACCAGAAAGTTACATTATTCCAAAGGTTTAACCTGACATCATCAATATGTCCAAACCGAAGCAGGAAAAATCAAATAAAAGAGCAACAACTTAACTTAATCATAAAGTAGGCGGAAGCATACGACAACAAGAATACAAGTACAAATGTCCACCACTCGTTCGTCTTCATGTCGTCGTCGCCAGCCATGCTCAACCTAAAGAAATGAAAAGGATACAAGGAGAAAAAGAATGGGGATGAGCAAAACCATTTTGCTTACCATTACCGCACAGTATATCCTGCATAAACATTCAAACCATAATTAAAGTATGCATAGAATCCATGTCTAACCCCCTACACGGACCTATCGCAAACCTCTTATGTACATAAAACTACATTCCGACCATATCATCGGCAAGGAAGTAACTGCAAACATTCCCTCCCCAGCTCGACATGGGCAATGGGATCCTTTCCAAGAGACAATGGAGTTGTTTTTCCCCTCCCGACTAGGCAAACGGTTCAGGGCGTCCACTTCCTGAC